ATATATATATATATATATATATATATATATAATTATAATTCATCAATTAAATTTTTTAAGAGATTTGTTTTTTACCTGGTGATAGACTTTATTAGGTATAATTACATATTGCTATCATATTAGCCAGGAGTACTACCCAGGAAAAAAATGCCTTCCCTAGAATATAAAAGTGTTAAGTGACTTTAAGGATCATTGCTGAAAATTTTATTACCTTGGCAGTCTGGTGGGGTTGTAACTTTTCTCTTAGTTGTCAGATTGTTCTGCTTGTAAAATTGATATTCTCTCTTGAATTTCATGTTTGTTTAGATTATGTGAGTATCAAGGGGGTCTTCAGGGTCTTGACTCCAAGTAGTTATTCAAGGCTAAGTCTGTCTTCTTGACAGGGTGGTCCTCCCCTAGGTGAGACCCATGCCTCCTTTGCTCTACCCCTTCCTTTGCTCCTGGGTGTTTTGAGATTGACTAGGGGTCCTGGCTACAGTCATCATTGTCACTCTCCTTATCAATCTTCTGCAGGCCCCATTTTCTGGATGGTTCTCTTTAGGGCAGCCTTGACATCACTGTTCCTGAGGCTATAGATGATGGGGTTGAGGATAGGGGTGATCACAGCACAGAAGAGAGACAGCAGAGGGTCAGTGGCTGGATCATAGCTGGCCTTTGGGCAAATATAGAAAGAGGGCAATGCCGTAGAAGAGGGAGACCACGATCAGGTGGGAGGAACAAGTGGAGAAGGCCTTGTGGCGGCCAGCTGCAGATGGGATCCGGAAGATAGTAGCCAGGATACGTCCATAGGAGCTCAAGATGAGGCCAAAGGGGCAGAGGATGATGAGGGCAGCAGCCAGGATAATCTGCAATTCATTGAGTGAGGTGTCTCCACACACCAGCTGCAGGACAGGCTGGATCTCACAAAAGAAGTGAGGGATGGCGTTGGGGCCACAGAAGGGCAAGGAGAAGATGAAGGAGGTGTGGCCCAGCCCCACCATGGCTCCGCAGGCCCAAGCTGAGCCTGCGAACTGCAGACACACCCAGCGGCTCAGCAGCAGCGGGTAGCGGAGGGGCTCACAGATGGCTGCATAGCGGTCATAGGCCATGGCCGCCAGGAGGCAACACTTGGTGGCACCAAAAAAGAGGAAAAAGAACATTTGGAGGGCACAGCCCCAGCGGGGGATGTGGCGCTGATCAGTGAGGAGGTGGTAAAGCAGCAGGGGCACCGTGAAAGACCTGTACCCAATCTCCAGGGCCGAGAGGATTCAGAGGAAGAAGTACATGGGGGACTGGAGTGCAGGGTCCGCTGAGACCAGCACCACAATGAGGAGGTTGCCTGTGACGGTGAGCAGGTAGACCGTGAGAAAGAGAGAGAAGAGCAAGCCCTGGACGTGGGCCAGGCGGGAGAAGCCTACAAGAATGAATTCAGTTAACACCACAGAAGCGTTCGTGCTCATCCTGCTCACATCCCTTTTGATGGGAATAAAAAGACATAGCAAAGAAGAGTTCTCACTGTGGAATTGTGATGAGGTCAAAAATGACCTCTCTCTGCATTGGATCAAAGCCCTGGAACTCCTTTTCTTTTAGGCTTTCAGTGTCTTTGAAATGTGGCAGCCCAACTGCCCCCACCCTGGCCCACTCTTGGAACCCTGGGCAAATATTTGTCTCTCTGAGACCAGCTGTCTTGATCTCTTCCTGATGGTGCCTACCTTTAGATGAAGCATTGAATTTGGTTTGGTTTCTCCTCAGTGAAGTGTTGGATCATTCTAACCCCCTTTTCTCTATTTCCCAGCCTTGCTGCAGGGCTGGGGATGGAATTTTCCCTCCCAGCAGATGTTTTTCTGCTCAAAGCCAGACTTTGTTCTGTGTTCAGGACATGAAAAAAATCCCATTCCAAGTAAAGAGGATTTCCTTTCCTGTTCCTCTCCCTCCTGACTTTTTTCTGTTTCTTTTCCTTTTTTCACATGTTTTTCTTTTCTCTCTACTTGGCTTTTCTCTGGCCTAATGTTCACCTCTTCCTCTCTATTTCCTGTCCCTTTCCAGCTATTATTCCAGTTACCAGATGCCCTCAGCCTCTTCCTTTTCTATCATTTCACCATGAGATGAACTTCATGGTTTTCAGTGGGGAGAGAAGGGATTGGGTAGATCATTTCTTTTAAGGTCCTGAAGGCAGTTGAGTAGTTCAGTTTTCCAGAGGATCTTTCTAGTTTTTTTTTTTAAAAAAATGCTCTGGAAGGAGATAACAAGACCTTTCTTAGTTGCTTATTTCTGCATCTTACAGCCTCTCAAACTTCATCCCTTTATATCATAACACATATACAAATCCCCAGGCCACTCACATAAACTCTACATATGCATACACTAACACATTGTGTTTCTAAATATAAGCACAGGAGAATAACCTAACATCCTCCGATGCTAGATTCATTTAAAGTCAAATACACACACTGTATAAAAATACAAACTTCATTACAGATAACAATGGAAGTCAAAACTCATTTAACATAAAAATATTAACACGGAAAGATACAGACAAATAGATACATAAATCAAAATTCTGTGAAAATAACCATATTTAAGAATTCATATTAGAAATACAAGTGCACACATTAATATCCTTTTGCAGTTGAGAATCTCTGGTTTATTCCACGTTGTTCAGTGTTTTCCAGGATATTGTTGGAATAGTGTTTCTCTGTTTGGAGAAATAACTAGGCTAAAGGCAGGTAGCATTTGATGACTTGCTTATTTTATCCTCTCTTTACATAGCAGATCCTCATGGGAAACATACTCGTAGGTTTGGTGTCTCCGTAAGGTCTCTGAAGACCTGAGTCTCCAAGTATATTTGACTTTCCAATGGGAAATAACTAATTAATCTGTTATTTTAGAGTTAGTTCCTTAAATCACCAAAAGTATAGGATGACCTGTCAATAATATTTAAGAGACAATGTCCAGGACTATTGGTTTCTTTTAATTCTCCCATAATACCTCTGGGTTGATCTTTTTTTATGTTTTTTTTTTCCTTTCTCAACATTTTCTTCTGTCACTGTCAATGTCCTACTACACCTACAAAAAGTAATAATGACACTTTTCCTATCTTATGGAATTTGATATAGTTTAATAGTAAATTTATTTTTAGCTATACACAGAATCTCATGTATTTCAGTTATTTTACACAGAAGAATATAGACGATACATAAATATATTTTGACTAGTGAGCTTATTGATAATTGTTATTTTTTTAAAAATCGATCCTGAATTTTTCTTTCTTGGATTTTTTTCACTTATTATACAAGTGTCGTCTTTACATTATTAATATTTGGGTTTAATTTTTGATCTGTTTCTTCGTTTTCTTACACACTTTCCTACATTTGATAAATTATGCATCAGAAAAGATGTTTTTGAGACATGTAACAACTGTTACAATAATAAGCCTCAAACTCAAACTGGTTTAAAAATAATTTATAGGTTCCTGTACCTATAACTTTAGGATTTGCTTATATTAGATCTCCCACTTAGTTTTCTTTACATCATCTGTTTTATTAGGTTTGGCTAAAAGTAATGAAAATACCAGTGGCTCAAAGAGGATGAAAATTAGGGCTGGGGAAGTAGTTCAGTGATAAGAGCATTTGCATAGCATGTGTGTGTATGTGTGTGTGTGTGTGTGTGTGTGTGTGTGTGTGTGTGTGTGTCCAGCACACACACATATACACACAGGACACACACATACAAACACAGAAACACGTCTATCACTATTAAAACCCCTCACTACATATTATAGTTATATGTACTATATTGCACCAAAAATAGAGGATAAAAATTTTTGTCTCACTTTATTGTCTGAAGCTCTGCATTTCAAAACAATATGGCTACTTTGATCTAACAGGTCATCAGAAATCTTGTTTCCTGTCAGTTTATGAGTTTTCTGCTCCTGATGTAAGACCCTCTTATGGCTTAAGATGAGGGCATCCGTGTTTTAGGGAAGAGAACATAGTAGAACACTCTGGAATGTTTTGTGGCAGGTAAAAATTCTATTAGTATAAACTATGTAGAATTCTTGCCAAAGATGTTTATAGCTTAAGTATAATTATAGGAAATAATCAGACAAACCCAATTAATGGCACATTCTGCAGACAATGGACCCAAACTCTTCACAAATATCAATGGCTTTTGTTTTATCTTCAAAACAAAAGTTGGGGATGATATTATTCTTAACTGAAGAAGGCCAAAAAAACATGACAATAAAATGTCATTGCCCATGGCTGGACCCCAGATCATAAGAAAAAAACAAAACAAATAGAAAAAACTTTTGAAACAGAAAATGAATGTTGACTTTATTTTATTGCAAAACTATTAAATTTCTTGGGTGTAATAATATTTTTGACTTTAGAAAGTCGGAGAACAACATATTTAAGGGCAAAGGGTTATGCTTACTGCAAGTTTGTTTTAAGTGGTTCATCCAAAAAAAGTATATATATATATATATGTATGGATGAATCCTTGACTCTGCTCTAGTGGATGTTTGTCTTTGTAAATAATCATCCTGTTCATGTCTGTGGAGGCTGTGTAGATTTCACACTCTTTCTCCTACTACTTGGGCTGTGGACTATATTAGTAGGCAATAGTTATATGATAGTGTAGCATGTTGCTGCAAGAGCAAGCAACTCAAAATTGTAGTGGCTTAATACAAAACAATTATTTATTAACCATACAGAATCTCTTGTGTGCTGAGATGACCCATTAACATAGCTGTGCTCCATGCAAAGCTCCATGTAACTTTGATCTTATGACTTCGCCATACTAACACTTGCTTTTGTATTTGCTATGAAGGAGTGAGCTGGAGAATAAATCATCATCAATTAAATTACATTATTTACATTTTTCTGATCAGAGCAGGTCACATAGCTATGCCTAACTTCAAAGGGATTGTGGAAGATTGTACTTTCTAAAGGTACCCGTAAGAAGTCTTTCTTACCTGCATACTGTTCTACAATATCATCTTGCTTCTTCTCCATCAAAAAGTGAACTCTACTTCCCCTAATTTGTTTAAATCCATTTGGGCTTTGATCATTTCAACCCATAGAACAAGATGGATAGGATGATATGCGATTTCTGAAGCTGGATAATAAAAGTGATGCCACTTCTGCCTTGTGACTTGGAATATTTACATTTGGACCCACTTACCTACCATGTAAGAAGTCCAGCTACTCTGATGCTATTATGCTGTGAGAACCAAGACTCATGTGGAGTCCACAGGAGGCACTCCAGTGAACAAACAAATTAAAAATCATCCTAGACCAATACCTGTGTTTCTTTTATGATATTATCCATCTGTGGTATAAACTGAGACATGTATCTTTCCTCATATTTAAAAGACTCATACATGTGTATACACAGTTAACTCTGATTCTGTTCTTTTTTTCTTTTCAGGGTTGGATGTTATATTCACATTAGCTGTAGCATATTTATTAGGCTAAATTAAAATGAGACCTATTTTTACTATGATTTTTTTAAAACCTCTTGCAAAAGGTGCTACAAGCTAAAAATAACAGGTCACACTTGCATGTTCCATCAGGAGGCTGTAACAGTGTGAGTGCTGCCACACAATGGGAATGGTGAGCAGCAGTCCACAGCCCATGCAGCACCCTCTCAGACCTTTGTTTGGTGCCTCCAGCATTTTGCTTTCTGTGTTTCTGTAGATATGTCTTTGTATTAAATAATTTTACCATGGGTCTCTTTTGAAGCTTGTTCTGCCTTATTTCATCCACTAATTTAAAACTGAGAGGGATACTTGTAATGAGTATTGGAGTGGTTTTGTGTGCCAGGAATGTGCTGTGTTTTATAAACTTTATATAGTATATAAAATATATAAACATATAAACTTTATATATACATATAAAATAGGACAATTTGAAATTTGAACTTAGTCTTGTTATATTATTATGAACGAGCTACATTAGTGAGAAAGTGCTTCTGTTTCTCTTAAAACTTATTCTAGGCCTGGGGTATAGTTTTGTTTTCCATTTTTTAATTGGTGCATTATAGTTTCACATAATGGTGGGCTTCAATGTTACACATTTGTACATGCACATAATATAAAAATATAATTAACCAATATTACTCCACATAACAATATAATTTTCCAATATTACTCCCCAGTATTTCCCTTTTTCCTTCCTTTCTCCCTGTAAAGATGTAGTTTAGTAGTAGAGTGCTTGATCAATGAACGAGGCCCTGCTTTCAATCCCTAGCATGGTGAAAACAACAACAATTAAACTGGGTGTAAGGATTCATGAACTTGAACAGGGAAAATTACATCTTTATTTCTAATTAAAATTTATTTAAACTTAATGATTCTTTATGAATTTTCCAAAAATCACATTAGTATTAGTACCTGTAACTTTGTTATCAGTATAAAAATACAATCTTTTTATCCCATTAGACTTACTTAGATATCTCA